AAAAAAAAAAAAAAAAAAAAAGTCAGTAATTTCCTGTTCTTGTTGACCCCTTCAATATTGTCATTTCTCCTGGGGATCTCTCAAAGCTCAAATTAAAGAACAGCTTGTAAAAACCCTGTTAAAAAGCAAGTCCAACACAACTCCCGCAATTTAAAGAAGCTGCTTATACATTTCACTGGCTTTATGTCTTTATAGGTTTTTCAGCACAAAAGAGCGTGTGGACACTTGTTGAATCCCTGACCACTGCTGGCCTTGAATTTCTCCTCATAATCTTTAATTTTCCCTGTGAAGCCTCTGGTTCCTCCCTCACATAGCAGAGACACAGGTGGTGTCCCTGGAAAAGCCACCTGCAAACAGTGCGAGGCCCATCCATGTCTGCACTCAGGAGCACATTCTGGACCTTCCCTGAACCTCCAGGAACACCCTACACTCAGCAAGCACACAAAGACATTTCCTGAAAGCCCAGGGATGGGCCAAGATGTCACACACACTGCCTGGCCCAAGCCCATCAGTGCTCTGCATCTCTGGATGGAACACAAAGCTCTGGGGGTGCAGGGAAGAGATCCTGCCCTAGGTCTGCTGCTTGTTCCAGCAGGCACGTCCATAAACATGGCCTTCAAAGCAGCTCCTCTGGGATGCTGGCCAGGGAAGAGCAGCAGCAGAGCAATCCAGGGCAGGAGAAGCTTTGGCTGGGCTCTACTTTGTGATTTTTTTCCCTACACCCATATCTGCAGCTGTTCTTGCTGATCTGGGGTTGATGGCAAAGCCACCTCTGACTTCACAGCACTTCAAAGGCCAGGCCTGGTTGTCACTACCTGTGTCAGCTGCCCACACCAGTTATATAAAATTATTCTGAAATTTATCAGCTCACATCTCTGGCTACAAGTTTTCCTGAGCATTTCATTTAATGTGGAGAAGAGACAGTTATAAATCATATCATAAATCCCCTTTTTGCAGCCTAACAGGTGAAGTGTACTTATGTGCCACAACAGCAGCTAAAACACACAGAGATTTCGCTGCAGAGACTCATTCCTCAACAGTGAGCCAAAATTACCCCCCAAAAAATAAATTTACTGAAAAATGGAAATATTCTTTACAGCAATGCCCACCAAAGTGTTAGTTTTCATGTTCCCATTCACCCTCTGGTGGCTGAGCTGCTGTCAGAGAGGCTGGAACCTGTGGACATGGATATTCAGGGAAGGCTTTCACTTACAAGTGCTGCTTCTCTCTGGAGAAGGGGTAGGAGAGGCGCTTCACCGTCTGAGGTTTGTGTTCTGCTACCTTGGGCTGGATGGGCTCCGTTATTTTTTGAATCACAGAATTAATCTTTTTCAGGAGGCCATGGGTCTGGTTGATCTGATACATCTGAGGGGGCAAAGAGAAAAAAAAAACCAACAACCAAACAATAAAACTTTACTGCTTTTTGGTTATCCACAGGTCAGAGTGAACTGTAAGGAATCAACCAGCAATTATATAAATATTTCACAATAAACTATCGAGGAGTGTAGTTTACATTCTTGAAATCATCCAGAAAGAAAGGCATGGGAAAGTCAAACCAAGGGTTAGGGAACCACAGGATCACAATGGACTTTTTTTATCTAATTGTGCTTCTGATTAAAATCCCTGGTAAGTGAGGCAATAATGGGGATTAATATGAAATCCAAACCAAAATTGTGGTTTTAGTGTTGTATTAAATGATGCTGGGCTTGGAGACTGTCTCTGGCTCCATTATGGACTCCTCTGTGCAGTCTGGAGCCTGCATTTAGGCTGTGTTTAAATATTAATCCATCTCTGAGCTGTGCTCACTGAGCAGGTAGCTATCTATCTATCACAGGTGATTTAGAATTGATGAAAATATACTGTCATTCCTTTAATGACATTTCAAATATTCTGAAAGGTAATTTATTTTGTGGTTGAGTGGCCCCAGCTCCTGCAACTATGACTGACTGTGCATATGAATAGTCACTAAACCCAGTGAGACAGATTCTTATCCTTGTGTTCAGTTTTAGAAAAAAATGTCCAAAAGGCACACAGAAATTTCACCATCAATTGAAACCTCTTCTTCTAAAACATACTGAGGATGAAATCACTCTCATCATGTACAGGCAGTGGTAGCAGCCAGAAATTCTTAATTTCCATTCTTCTTTTCACTTTTCCCTCTGCTGCCCCAAGCAAGTACGTTTGTGACTTTCATTTCTGGTGCACAGCAGTTCATTGTTTTGAAAATGCTCATGGAAAGAGAAGTCTGCATTTATAAAGTCCTCTGAGAGGAACATATGTTTAAACTATGCCTTCATGAGGAAAACAAGAAAATCAAGACTCACCTTTTTTGTGGGCATCTTGAGTTTAAGGAATTCTGCCTCTCGACACAATACATTCCATGGTGCATGTATTTTTACAAATCCAATCCCATGGATTTTGGTCTTAAAAAAAAAAAGCAGGGGAAAATACTACTGATGAGAGGAAATGAAATACATTACCTCTTGTGATTCATGCATATTTAAGGAACAAAGAGTGCATTAAGGCCAACATGATAAATCTCATTTGTTTGAGAGAGTTGGTTTCTAACAACGGGACAAACACCTCACTGTGCTGAGCTGCTATAGAACATGACTCAAAAAATTCAATTGTCTCCCAGAGCAATTACCACAAGGTTAAACAGATAAAAACTGTTTGGGAAATAAAAGCTAATGACTGCGGACACAAATACAGGCTGAGTCAGTTAAATTTGAAGCAGAGGCATCCAGCCAAAATGGTGTGATTTGGTGAGTGTGTTGTAATTGCTGGGCCTGAGAGGGTCCCTGCTGCTCATACCTCAAAGGAGCAGACTCAGAATCAAATGTGAGTATCTCCATTAAAAGCATCATAGTTGGGAAAAGCGGTAGGAAGAACTCCACCAAACAAAGCAAAAGGAGGACAGAAGTTAATGGCAATATTAGTGGTGTGCCTGCAGCCCAGTAATTCTCTGAGCTGTGTTCTAGAGGGCTGGACATGAATGTTTGCTCCTGGCACTCCCACATACACCCGTGTTTGCTCCCCCTGGGGCAGCCATTTCAACGGCACTGGACAAACGATACCCAACTAGGAGGTGTTCAGCAAACAGAAGAGAAATAAAATTCAACTAATCTTTCTAATCCTGCTGCTGCACCACTCACTTATTACAATAACTAGCTTTCACACAGATGTATTCTTATTGGCTTTCTAGAAACTGGATACTCAGAGGACCATGGAATGGTTTGGGTTGGAAGGGAACTTGGGGGTCATCCAGTTCCAACACTCCTGCCATGGACAGACTAGGCTGCCCCAAGCCCTGTCCAACCTGGCCATGTTTTTAATCAATTATTTGTGGACATCAAGCCACTGACCACAACTCTTTGTGTGTGACCATCCAGCCATTTAATTGAAGAGAGCTTAAGTGATTTATTAAACACTGTCTGTTTAAGAAGCGTTTGCTCTTTTGGAATCAGTGAGGTCTCCAATGAAGCTTTCTGGCTTTTCAGGCCCAAGTGATTGCAGATCTTTGCCTTTACATGGACATGTTGGCTGTGGAAGCTGATGTAAATCCCCTTATCTTGCTTTCCTCTCTACACTTTCATCTCATGTAGTTTGGTGTTTTACACTGAAAAGACAGAGTTCCCTCTCTTTTACAGTGTTCTGGCTTGACCCCTGAGCCCTTCTACATTATTTGAAATGATATTACATGTCATAGGTGAAACCTCCCATCTGGCAAAAGATTTCAGTATCTATGACTTGGCACAGGCAAACTCCTTGTTTGCTACAGGAACCCACAAGCTGGTCAGAAAGCAGGTCTGATTTTCACTGTTAGACAGAGAGGGGAAAGGTTTTGGGCTTTTCTTGTATTGTACAATGTTAAGTACATCTATTACATATACATAATATATAAAAATTAGAAATGTCTGTAATTTGTGAATAATAGGTGACAGATTTATTTTTTGCAGTCTGTTCTCAGGTCAAAATGTTTATCTCAGCTTTTAGATCCTGTAAATAAAACCAGCATAAATGTTTACCCTCTCTCTTGGGAGTCTGGGGCACATTGGTTGGGTCAGATAATTGTAGCAGCTTTCTCTGAAATTAATACTGCTGTGTCTATTTCTACTAATCACACACTGGCAGCACTTCACATACATCATTTTTTACACGGTCTAATGGGCTTTTAATAGAATATCCTGTTTTCAGGGTGCAGGTGGAAGATGTTACAAGCTGTACTGTTCACGTCTAAGAATGGAAAGAGCAAACTGTAACAAAGACCCATGTGCTCCAGCAGGAGCATGGATCAGAGCCTCCTGAACTGATTTAATTTTCCTAAAGGCTATATTAAGGAATAAAGATGACACTGCCTGTATCTGATTTTTTTTTCCCCTCATAGCTGGAATTACCAGAGGATACAAACCACTGCATACTGTATACCCACCAAACTGGGATTAGTGTTCAGAGCAGTTAAAGCCTCACTTCCAGATAGCCCAACACAGCCCTGTTGCAATGGTGGGTGTGCCACAAATCTTGGCCAAGAAAAGTCAAGAAACTTCACCTCATCAGGGCATTTACAACACCATGGCACACTCCTGTGCAGCCAACTAAAACAGTGGGTGAGGATGCCACTGACTGCCAGAACTGCAATCAAACCCTGCAAGAGCTGAGCTTGTGCAACCTTGATCAGAGCCAGGCTCATAGGGACAGCTCAGCATCCCCCGGGACCTGGCCTCCAGTTTAAAAGGATCCTTACATCTTCATCGCGTTCCAGCTCCAGCCCAGCCTCCACGAGGTTGCCCTCATACTCCTCCCTGCGGAACCTCTTGTCGTCCTCGTGGTAATCCACGTGCAGCTCGCTGTCCCCTATCTCCAGCTGCACGCCCTTCCCAGGGAGTGGCTGGTCCTGCTTGGTGCTTCGGACACTGGCGTCGTTCTGCTGAGCGCGCCTGGCCAGAGTCTTCCCGGCTGAGGACTTCTTGTAGTGGTAAACCAGGATGTAGTCCACCTTCCTCTTGCCATCCCTGAAGTACAGCCCATATTTGCAGTCAGCATCCGGGTTTTTGGATAGGGAATTTAAGAACTGGAAGTGAGGAGAGAAGAAGAGAGAAGAATAATGATTGTACAGCCCAACACAAGCACCAGACAGACCATCCTCTCCTCTCAAGGCTCCTTTTGCCTGGAGCACATGATGTCCTCTCTCCAGAGAGCCAGCAGATGGGAGGAGTCCCCCCATGCTACTTACTCCAAACATTTTTGCAAGTTAACACCTTTAATTTTACTGATAGCCAGCTGGGATTTTATTGGCCAGAAATAAATAGATTGCATGACTGGGATTTAATCTAATCACCAGCACACTGGTTCATAAGTCAGCTACTTGCTGGGTTTGGTTTTCTCCTTCGGGGGGTTAATTGCCATTAAGATCATCTGTCTTTTTCCACCCATGACATCTGCAATGCTGCAATTCTGACAAATAGATTAATATCATGTGGAAACATTTCTCACTTCTCTTATCTATCATTGCAAGTCCATATAATCTGAAACAGAGATCATTTTAGATACAGACTGAAGGGAGCCAACTGCTCCTGCGGCACAGCCAAAAACACCATGGAAAGTGGCCAGGGAAGTGGGGTCACTGCTTATTAAGTTCACTACTTCTTTTTTTCCTACTTCTAAAACCTATGTCACTATGCAATCTGATGGTGGCAATGGCTTTATTCCCAGCCTGGGTTAATGCTGGGTAAGTGTTGCAAGATACTTGCAAGGTACGACTCAAAATACAATTTAATTTCCAAGCATTTATCTGAAAACTGCACAGGGCAACTGTAGAAACAAACAAACAAACAAACAAAAGCTACTAACAATTAATTTATTTCTACTTTTATAACAGTTTTCATGCATAATTCACAATTTTACCCTTGGAGATTCACATAATATTAAATACAAAATTAAAAAAAAAAAAAAAAAGGAAGAGAATTCACTAGTAACTGGCATTTGTTTTCACAAAAAATGCCCAACACAGGAGTGGCTTTTCAATGACCAGGGAACTTTTCTGGCTCCTAAGTTTATAGAAGAATGTCCATCCTCCATGGAGGGAAAAGGAATTGTACTCGAAAAGAGAATAATTGGTCATCAGTTGTAAAATGCTAAAATCTATTTGGGATGTGTACACCTGCTTATTTCATACATAAAACACTAAATGTACGTTATTTTAGATAGTCTTTGCTATCTGCTTCTCTCTCCTTTAGGATTTCATCCCTCTTTTCCATTTTTCCCTAAATCCTTTACACCAAGTTAATAAATATATAATAAAATAATGCAGCATTTGGGGCCATCAAGGAGTTCACTCATTGTCCTCTTGCCTCTATTCCCCATTCCATGAAAACAGGGGATGTTATTTAGCCATGTCAAACTTCTCAGGGCAATCTGTTAATGTTTATGCCCTATCTAGTTATTCTCATTTAGTTGATTTTACTAAGTAATTAAACAGCGGTTTCTGAAAAACTGGGCTGAGCCACCACTGTGTCTACTAAAGCCTCAACAAATTCACTTATATGTGAGAACATCTATATCCCACAGCAAACAGCAAGCAGCCAAAAAATTTGGTTCTTAATTTTAAAGAAATTAATGGTCAGATTATTTTAAGGATGGGGTATAAATGCTGAAAGATACTCATGGGCCAGATATATGCTCTTGCAGGGCTGCTGTGCTTAAATTGAGATGAAATTACTTAGACCATGTAAAGCTCATATCTCTTCAGCTGTGAGTGAGACAGAGAAAAGACATTTCAGTTTCACCACAGCAGGAGGATTTTAACACGCTGACAGAACCATTCCTCCATGCTCCATCCTAATTTTAAGCACAAGCACAATAAATCACATGTTGCTTTTTCTGGTACCTCTTTCCCCAGTGAATCTGTTGTATAGCCCACTCCACCTTAATAAACTTATGTTCAAATTACATAACCAAATTGTAATCATGTCGAGTGTTCATCTTACTAACTTCCTTTAAAATCTGTGTTAAAGAATTTAACTGAGGAGTAATTAATGCCACTGGAAATCTAATTTCTATTGTGTGCTGGAGAAGATCAGTTTAATGTTTCCTATGTTAACAATGGCTTTTGCATGAATTTTTAGACATTCTCTTCTGTTCTTCTCTGCACTGGCAAGAAGATGTAAAGGTTATTGACAGCCTCATTGTCAGATTCCCTACTCTGAGAAGAGTCAGCCCCTTTTTATGCTACAGGTTAAACCAGGCTCTCTTTCTCACACATCCAAGAACCCCCCCACCACATCAGCATGGACTGTGCCTGGTGGCAATCCTTCCCAGCACCTTGGGAAAACAGAGGGAGAGGATTTCAGAGCATCCTGGGAGTGGAAAGGATGAGGAATAAGCAGGCTGTGGTTACTTACCGTGCTCTCATGCTGGTCGTAGCCGATGTCCTCGATGGCTCGGATGTTGATGATGTGGATGCCCTTCTCCTCAGCAGGCAGACAGGAGTACTTCTTGTTCACTCTCATTCCTGTCTCCTCTGGAGCCTCACTGAGATCTTCTGGCAGAAAATCTACCCCATGAAACTCGCTGTCTGCGTCTGAGAAGGAAGGGAACAATTTTATCAAGACACTTTAATCCTGACTTGCTCCTCCCAGAGCCACCCAAAAGCTGAAATGTATCCTGTTCCTGCCCTCTCCTGCCAATGAGCCCTTGGACAGGCTCCCACCCCTTCTCCTTCCTCCCTTCTCAGCTTTCCTCAGCCCTCCTCAGCCCTACCTGGGTCTCCTCCTCCTCCAGAGGAAGAGGGCTCAGTTAACTTTTATCCTACATGGGTGTCTCAGGATGTTTTTACTCTGTGTGCTGATTAAATGATTGTGTTTCTTGGCAAGAGAAGGAAAAAGGCAGGGGGAAAGGGAAAAACTGCTGGTGAGGATAGATGCCATGGTGCCTTTCCCTTTTCAGGAGGCATTTTCTCCTTTAACTTGTTCATGATGAAAAACTAAGTCAAGGGTTTCCCCTCAAGTACCTATGTCCTGCATCTGATTTACTGAACCCTTCTTTAAGTAGTCTTGAAAATCTGGGGGTTTCTCCATCTCAATCTGCTTCTGATGAAGACATCAGAACGATTCCCATTTCATGTTTAATTATATAGATAGGCTAAAGGATTTAATATAAAAATTTCACTATAAACTGAGCAACCATATAAGTGACAGAATGCAAACTGGTGTTTGCATATGGGCACTTATGCAAGCAATAGAAGGCAAAGTGTTCCAAGATTTTATTTTGACACGGAAATAAAATACTGCAGCATTGTACTTTTGGTTTGTTTTGTTTTTTTTTTTTTGAAACCACACAGGAGGAGGGCTTGCTTGTCTAAAGAGTGACGATAAGGCAAGAATTGTAGAATTTATAGAATTTATGGATGCTAAATTAGCTTTCCCAAACAACAAAAATCATGAAACTGAATTACCCTGTCTGTGGTTGAACTTCAGGGATAATATTGAGGGAAGAGACAAAGAAAATCCCACTCCCCAGCAAATTTGCAGATGATGTGAACAGGCTGGAAAAACGGAAACCCAAAAAAGTCCCTTATGCAGCCCAAAGGAGGGAAGGCAAATGATGGGGGTCACATTCCTGTCTTTAACTACCAACTGAGTAGGTACAGACACAGCAGGGTCAGATTCTTCTCAAAGGTGAAGAATGAGAAAAGGGCGAGAAGCTACAGACACAAGTTGCAATGAGGGAAATTACAACCAAACATAAAAAAAAAATCTAAATTATCTAACAAGAGTGATCACACAATGGGAAAGGAATCAGTGAAGCCATAAATCTCCATCCATCCCTGGAGAAGGTCAGAGCTTGACCACACTTGGCCCAATCTGAATGTTGGGAGGGCACTGCAATAATCACTACACTTCTGATCAGGCTCTTCCTGAGAACAGGAGGAGCCAGCAAGGACAACAACCTGCAGGCAGAGGAGGAGGATGCAACCAAAGCCTTGGCACCTGTCCTCAGCTTATCAGAGAAAGGTAAACATTACTGTTATGAAAGCCGTGCTTCTGTGGAATTCGCAGTTGTGCTCCTCTGGAGCTTGCCAACACCACGAGTCTGTGGATGTTCATTTCAGTCCTGGACAATCTGCTCCCCAAGCTGCTTTCTCAGGAACACCAGTGCTCATTAACATCATCCTAACACCTGGGCAGCAATCACCCTCTACGCAGACATCTGCGCAGCCTGTAACACCCACACCTCTGCAGATCTGGGCTGCTGCTCTTGGCTCTTCTCTAACACTCCCCAGTAGTCATCTCAGAACAGACACCACTCATGAGATCTCAGGGCAGCATCACCAAACTCAGCGAGCCACTTGAACAGCAATTTGTAACAAATCGAGGAGCTTTTTTTAGGGGTAATACAGAGATGCAGTCAGAAATCTGCAGGCTCGTGGGAGCAACTGGAATGTTGTAGCAATTCCCTACACGTGTATGGTCTCTGTTTCCCAACACTCACAGGCACATATGGGCAGGCTCCCTGAACAATGGGAAATGAAACAAGTGTGGGCAGCTGCAGAATCCTGTGTACTCAAGCCTTTATTCTGTGGCTACAAAATACTCATAAAATAATACAACTTTTGGAGCTTCATAACTGCAACAACCTGCATTTTTTATCTGGAAGGATGCTGGAAACAACTTTGTAAAAATTGGATTAAGTGCTATAAAAGTTTCCCTCCTTTTCACACGTGCACTAAGTAAAACCAGTTATATCAGATTTTTGCAGAGGGTATTGGAAGAGAAGCACCTTTTACTGACTGTGAATCTGAATAATGGAGCTGTGAACTGAAAAGTGCTAGTTTAGGTATCACCACTGGGACAGGATAGGTTCAGAGGAGAAAATAACAAAGCTTCATTGAGCCCAAACAATCTCTCTGTGCTCTGAAGCTGCACTTCCAAGCAGAGTTTCTTAAGCCCCAGCACAGAACAAGGAGACCTGCTCAGATGATTCAGCACCATTGTGTAAGCCCAAACAATCCCCCTCCCTCCCCAGAGATATTTACATTCCTGTTTACATATCAGTAGCCTGGCAATATTGGAAATAACAAGTGCTTCAGGTAGGCAATGAATCATAGAATTTTGGTTTATTATGACTACTGGAAAATATGTGAACTGTGAGAGCTTTCTTGATATAATCTTAATTACAACAAGTTTGATTTCTGCACTTAAGGATGATGTCAGGATTTAATCTTAAGTAAAGCCATCCAAACCACTTTGGTAATTGCAAACACCCAGGGATTACAAGCACTTCCCTTGTGCTGATTTGGCAGAGGCCAAAGCCTTCTGTTGCAGAACACAAAACCTCTTTTTTTTTTTTTTTTTTTTTTTAACATGGAATAAAAAATATCAAAGACTTAAAACCATGAATATTTTATGTTAATCACATTAGACAAGGACAATAATTTAATCTCAAAATAAATTCATATTCAGAATTATTTATGGCAAGATAGAAGAGGAAAGGTGAGGAGTGAAAATAATAATGTCCCAATTCAGTTAGACTGACATTGTTATATCTTTGTCGGGAGCTGAAAGAGGTGAGCATTATGAAAACTGCTGGCTTTGCTGCCTTCTAATGCTGACTAACTTGCTCTCTTCTATTTATTAAGCAGAAAACACTACAACAAAGACTTGAAGAAACACTCAATGTATTTTAACACAGCCATAAAACCAATCCCAAAACTCCATGGATTTTGAGTCAGCAGAAGTCCCCTGATGTTCTGGGGCAGAGAGTCAAACCCATGCTTGAGTCTCCCACTCTGAACAATATGGGAAACAAGATAGAACTAATAAAAAAATCCCTCAAACTTGAAACCACTTCCTCCTCTGTTCAAATTTCAGTCGCAGCTGTTAAAATTTCCAACCTCATCTTGCAAAAATTAACACTAATTTATTAATTATCACTTTTCCACCACTGAAATTTGGCACACTGTGCTGTAACTTTTTCTTATTCAGACACTTTCCACACTGAATGTTGATGACCTGGTGAACCAGGACCAAAAACCTGTTGTAGAAACCAATGTATTTTCTCCATGATTCAATCAACATTAATATTATAGTCATAACCATGAATGGTCACTGAATAGTCCCTGGCAAAAAGTATTTTTGTCATTAAAATGAATTTAAAAATTGCTTTCACACAATGCAACTCTTAAAGAAACACCCTGCACTAGTTCTAAAATAAGCATCATCAAGTCCGCATGAGTACCTCTAAACAAATGAACAAATATTTCCCTGCTCATCCTGAAACCAATAATGTCAGTGAAACTGCCTTCCCTTGTTTTCTTTTTCTTTTTTTCCTGGTCTTCTCTTGTTTTCTCTTTTAGAGAGTATGTTTAGAAAGTGGTAGAACAAAAAAAGTCACAAAGACCTCTGAGTTAAAAAGGGAAAGCAGCAGGAAAGTTACAAGACCATGTGGTTCAAGGCTTTTAAATGCCTGCATCCTTATCTTTTTGTTTTATATAAACTATGATAGAATTCAGAATGAAAAATTAAGAATCATTCAGGTAATGAGGAAGCATACTATGAATATCATGCACACACACACATATATATACATATGGTAAAAGAAACAAACACAACCTACAAGTAAATGTTGGATATTTGTTTATGGTATGCTTTTTTTACAGAAAAAAATGTTAGCTTGTGCAATACATTGGATAACTTTTGGATTTAAGTTATTTTCTTGAAGAAAATAATAGATATTGAAATAAAACTCCTTTAGTGGGGTTTTGCTTACTACATATTGCCCCCTAGCAGAAGGATCCTCCTTCAGCACATTCTCACCCAGTTCTCTACCGCCTGTATCACCCAAATTCCAAGTCAGAGAAGAATCCTGAGAAGACTTTCCTAAGAAGAACAAAACATCATCGTCACAAGTGACTCGCCTATCTCTTCCCCTTTTCCTTCCCCCACCTTCTGATATGCTCCAAGGCTGTCAAAGCCCTGGAAGGGCAAGGCCAGGCAGGCTCGGAGCGTCAGCCCAGCCCAGCCAGGCTCGTTCCGACCCGCGGGTCATCCCTGCGGCCCGAGGAGCCGTGCCCGGGAATGCTGGCCAGCAGGCTGGAATGCCAGCGAGGATACCCACTGCTGGCAGGGAGGCCAGTGCTTTTTTTGGGATGCTGACACCTGTTTACAAGGCACTGGCCCCGGACCAACAGAGCTGCCGTGTTCTCCCAGGAACAGCCGCACACGTCCCGAACCTCTGGTCTGCTCGAAGGCCTGACATCGGCCGCTGATCAGCTCCACATCAGGGATAACTTGATGGAAATTGTCCCTCGCCCCTCCAGCTGTGAGCAGCCAGATGTTGCCCTGAGCTGTGCTGCTGGTGGAGGGGCAGCAGGTTTCACTGCTACCACCGAATGGCCTGGCAGGAAAAGGGAGCCCACCTCCCCCGGGGCAAATTTAATGTTGATACCTCCTGTCCATCCTTTCAGGGATGCGGATGCTTCCTGCCCATCCTTTCAGGGATGCAGGGATGTTGATAGCACCTGCTCTTCCATCTGCAGAAAGGTGAACCCTGCCTCTTTCATCTACTGTAAGTAGGATAATT